CAAGAGCTTCTTCACAAGGATGCTATTGAAACCATCTGACTAAGTTCAAGTTTTTGTGTAAAAACCATATTATAGTACATTTACTAAAAAAATATTTTTTTTATTAATTAATACAAACCTTGAAATCCAAATACAGTTTAGTAGTGATTTAATGCATATAGTGTTTTGTTTGAAGCATGAAACTTGTTTAAAACTGAGTAATTTTGGTAAATTTGTTAACTCTGTTCTGTATTTATGTTTTATAGGTTTGGAGGATGAAGCTTAAAGAAATTGTGCTCAGAATATTCTTTTTTATATACACATGACAATGATAGTATGAAAAATGCTTCTAACAAGAACTTCAGTAGAGATAAACCACACATTCCCTTGATATAATATTCAATTGTATTTCAATGAAAGAAGGTGGAGACAACTTACAAAGTTTGCTGTATATCTAATTGGGAATGTATTTGTGCCTAGTTAGTTGATGCAATTAGTAAACATCTTTGAAGATGAGCAACAACAAAGACAAAACTAAAGATTTAATTTCTATACCTGTAATAAAGAAGTCCCCTGCAATGAAAAAGAAGTTGAGAAATAAAAATGAAGTAATATCTGAAGCAAAAGGCACAATATCAAAGTTGTTTCCACTTTTTGGATTTATTGAGGTAAACCACCCAATTAAAGCCTCAATTTACTTTGATGCTTTTTGTGTTGAACATGGTAAAGTTGAAAAACTTTCAGATTTAAATTTTAAAATTGGGCAAGCTGTGTATGTTTGTGCTAAGAAAGGACGCCCTGATGGTCAAGCTAAATTTCGTGCTACTAAAGTCTGGAGAATGGCAAATCATGAGTTATTTAGTCGTACTCATCCGCCAGCAAAAAAGAAAAATATAAATACAACAAAAATGAATAAGTTAGTTAGTAATGGCAAACTTTCTGGAATATCTTCGAGCATCATAAGTTCTCAGCAAGATTCAGATATAAGTGATGCATCTTTAGATAGATATCACAATGATGAAAAATTAAGTATTAGCACATCTACTTCAATTAGTTTGTCATCTCACAGCGTGCCAGAAAAAACATCATATCATAGAATAAAAGACAAAAATTCTTTGCCAATAACTTCATGGGATAAACTTAAGAAAATTACTAACCAGAATGGAAGAATTCATCCTGAAGGAGAGAATAAAGCATGCATTAGATTTGGTAACCCTGAAGAAGTTGTTTTGACTATAAGTGATGTTGTCTTTGATAATAATAAAAGAATTAAAAATTTAATATGGCATATTGATGATAACCAGCGTGTTCAGTTTGATGCAATTGAAGCTAATTTTATTGTTGGTTCTTGGATTGCTACAAAGGTTTGGATTGGTGAGGCACCAGAAAGTTCTTTACCAAATGCTCTTAAAAATGAGAAATATTGGCAAGAATTAGTGAATAAATATGCCTCTTTGTTTGAAGTTGAATACACTTTACCAAATCCATTACCAGAATCAGTGAATGTTCATCCAAGATATGCAGGTAAAGAGAATTGGAATGAAGTGCAATCTACTGAGTTGTCAATAAATTGTGCAAGTCCTTGGGATGAGTGTGAAGGGTGGGACTCTCAAGACAATACAGGACTTCAAGTGACATTTTCTGATAATGGAAAGTTTGTAAGTGAATATGAAGAAGATTACATTTCAAGTGTAGAGGATGAACCTGATAGAAGTTTTTTTTCCAATAGTAAATTTCAGCCAACTTATAGTTTGCAATTAGAAAGTTTAAACTCTCAAAAGATCCATAGATTAGACAGTGAAAATATTCAGACAAGGGTTGAAAAGCATTCAGAAGAGAGTTTTGACAGTATTAAAGACCATTTTGACTGTCATAAACTAGATCATTTTTCAGAACTTTCAGACAGTTTGAAAACAGAAGAGATTAGCAAAAATGTCTTAAATCTTCCTCATGAAGGGTTAAAAGAAGAAAAATTTAAGGCTTCTTCTGATGAACCTTCTTTAGAGTTATTTAAAACATTGTTAGAAGATTCTAATAATAGTGTACATGATGCAGTTAGTGCTTTCTGTAGTCAGTTGAGTTTTAATGAAGTAGAAGACAAACTCCAACTTGCAAAGTTTAGCAATTCTATTGTGCAAATAACTGAGGAAAATAAAGGGTTAGAAAATATTGAAGAATTGAAATCAAAAGGAATGAACTTCTGTGCAAAACAGTGTGATACAACTTTACAAGAGGTTGTTTCACCATCTGTGAAAAATGTTGTTAATGCTACAGGCCATCTCAAGAAGATTGATAAATATTGCGTCTGGATAAAGGTGAAAAATACATTAGTGCCTGTGTGTTGGAGTCATATTTATGTTAATGGAAGAAGAGTGTGTGGAATTACTAAAAAGTTGGAAGATGTTTTAGAAGAAAATGCAGTTGTACATTTTGCTTATATGCATACTTTTGCATATAATTCTGAATGGGTATATGTGTATAGCTTGTGGAAAGGAAAAAAACCTAAACAAATATCAGAGCCCACTGTTGAAGAGTTTCTGAAAGAGCTGGAGTTAAAAAGCAGATCCTTTTCTGTTAGTTGTAACTCTACGTATAGTACAAAGAAACAAGACCAGATTGGATATAGAGGTTTGTTTCTTTCTTGTATTCTTTATTTTAATTTAAACTGTTTTATCATTCTCCTCCCTACTTATTGATTGTTTTTCATTCAGTGTTTACACTAATAATATTAGCTTTTAGGTTCTAGTGATTTTCCACTTTAGATTCAGTGCATTCACAAAATGTAGTTTGAGAACAGTATGAATGTGTAGGATGTGTAACTATTTTGTGAAGAAGTACAATAAGTACTTCTTAACAATCTACACAGTTGTACTTGTGAGACCTCAAATTATGACTCTTGAGATGATAAAAACAAAATATTTTGTTTTTTAACATATTTGATCTCAAATGAGATACTTTTTGTTTCCTTTTAATATCATTAAACATAGGAAAATGATGTTAAGTAAGCAAGAGTTTCATATTTCCTTAAGGGCTATGCCTCATAGATAAAGTCACTAACACATTAACAAATGGAAAGTTGGGTTAAAGAAGAACTGTATAATTCTGTAATAGTCATGCCTCAAAGATGCAATCTAAAATGCTACTTGCATTAAATTAACAATTTTCTTTTTTTCAGTATTTGCCCACAATTAATATGGAGTGAAATTCCTGATTAAAAAAGAAAACAGTTATTTAATAACTCAAATTGGAATTTCTACTTTACAAATTTAAGTTACAAGCTTCAAGTGACTGGTGTAAGATTTTTAGCTTTCTTGCTCCACATATTATGCAAACTTTACCTGTTTAAAATGATACTAATAACTTTGACAAAAAATGTCAAACAACACAATAAAATTGTGAGAACTGAAACTAGTTCCTATTTTCTTGAAACTTGTAGCTCCCAAACTCTAATCTTCTCACAAATTTTAATTTATTGCTATTTTACTCTTTGTGTCATTAAAAGTTTGGCTTCAACATACTTGTGTCAACTTGCCATTTTTAGATTACAGTGGATGTTTTAGCTTCTTTAATTCTTTTCTTCCAAGTTTCAGCTATATAGTTTTTACTTTCTGACTAATTATGACTTACCAGCTCTTCACATTCATACAGATTTTAGTTTCCTAGATTTGTTGTACTTTGAAGTTTACTGATGTTCGCATACTGCCTCTTTCTAAATGTTTGAGCTGAGCTTGCTTACTAATGCAGATTTTAAACCACTATCTCCCACTTTTAAGACATCCTTAAAATTTTCCACAACTGTCAATGACATACAGTTTATCAGAAGGTAGGAAATTGAACAAAATCAAGTAAGTCGAAGTGTAAAGGGTACTTCAATCAGGTCATTTACAGTCTAAGCCTATTTCAGGTGTATAATTTAATAAAAGTTGGTTTTGGGAGCTTGTACCTTAGTATGAAGTTATACATCAGTTTAAACTGAACTATTTACAACCCTTTTCCAGTTTAGAGTACATAATTTACAAAAAGTTAATTTAGCTACATGCAGTGGCATATCCTGAAATTTGAAGGGGGGGGGGGGGTACAAGTCTCAACATTCATATTGACCAATATTTTCTGTTTATTTTTATAATATCTAAACTTTATTATTTCCTTTACATTGGTTAAATGAGTGTTATAGCACGAGCACTTTAAGCTGTGAGATAGAAGATCATCAATTACTAGCTGCAGGTAAGTAGAGAGAGAATTTACCTTAAAAAATACAATGAAGATGAATTAGCAAGTTTATTCAGAAAATAATTATAGCTTCCAGGTTAAGTACAGACAGAATTTAACTTAAAATAATACAATAAAGATAATCAGCATGTTTATTCAGGAAATAATTACAATTTACAGAATTAATTACTGAGATGTTACAATGGGTTTAAACTTGTGAATAGACAATTGATGAATCATTTGCTAGCAATGAATTCAGACGTCAGTAGAAGCTAAGGTGTATATTCCCAAGCGAGAACTCATCTATAACTTCATCGTGATGAAGAGTCAAGCAGTGGACATAAAGCAGTGTTAGTACGTTCAATCTCACTTCATTCATAGTGCTCCTCAGTTATGACTTCAAGTATTTTAGAGCACTGAAGAAATGCTGGTTGGTGGCAGTGGTGATGGGAAGTGTTGCAAAAATCTGCAGTAGAGTAGTAATATTTGGGTATGTGCCCAATCTTTTGGCAACAGACAGTGACTCCAGAACTGCTTTAGACCTCTCCTTAGATTCCCGTATCTTCCAATAACTTTGCCAACACAGATATTCAGCTTCAACAAGAAATCTTCCATAAAATTCAACTGCATGTTTAATCGTTTCAAAGTTAGTTTCAACAGAAAGAGAAGAAGCAAGTTTACCCAACTGTAGATTACTGCTGTGTCGAGATGTAAATCTATCATGGAGTTGTGCCAGTATATAAAAGGGAGAAATAAAGCTCTCACGCTGATATTACTGGAGGGTTAGCTTTATTTTTCCGGTGATTGATGTTTCAAGGTATTGGAATGTCTTCTTCATACTATTTCTCATCTTATGCAAACAGACGGTCAAACATTTACCTTCCCAATAGGATTGAAGCACATCTTTGCAGGTCTGTATACTTCCTAAAGCAGCCATAAGGTATTGTTGTGTTCCCTGAAGTTTTCAGACAAAGGTTTGGTAACATTTAGGACTGTTGTTATTACTTCCAAGCTGACCAAGAAACCTGGGTCACAAATTGCCTTCTTATAAGCAGTTGGTTTGCCAATTACAGCAATGTTTGTTTATTGACAAAACATCTGGACTTGCTATTACTAATGGATATAATTCTTTAAAGATCAGGCTAGCTTGCTGATTCTCCACCAGTCATGTTTTGCAGTGATCTTTTATGAGCACTTGATGGATACATCTCAGAAGTATTGTCTTGTAAGACTGACAGCCTTTTGTGACACTGTTTGAAAAACAGTGCAATTTCATTCATAAAACTAACTGCTGATTGGATTTCCTGCATACTACATGCTTTCACTAAACAAACATTAAGAACATTTCTCAAGAATGTGCTTCTGGACATCATTTTTGCCACCAGACATGGCAGCAGCTCCATCGTACCCATGACCTACCATTTATGAAACATCCACTCCAGCACATGGCTGAACTGAATCATAGTTCATGACGTCAATGTGCAAACTGAAAATAGCAGCCAATAACATGCCACATTATTGACATCACTCAGCTCCTGCGATTCATGACTACGCTGTAATTGGAATTTTGGAAACCATGAATAGGATTTTGAGTGAGCTACATGTAAGTTGAAGCTAAAGAACATAAAACTGCAAAAATTTACATAGCAAAATTAGGAATTGCAGGGAAAAACTGGTCAAAAATAGAAATACAAGTGTGGGGGGCATGGCTATATGGCCTCCCCCCTTGAGGTTAGAAATGTGATTTTGAATGTTTAGGATAATAATTTGGTACACGAACTTCCCAAACAGCAGTCAGCTAGGGCATGGTAACTGGAGGCTCAAGGATCCCAAGTTGCAAGTTATATGTCTGTTTATCTCTCTAAATTCTGACTGAATTCATCAGGAAGAAAGAGTCGAAACACAGAAGATGCAGTCTTTATTTACTCAAAATCACATATACATATTAAAACAGATAGACATTAAACAAAAACTTTGTGAGGTCTCTCCCTCATAAATTCAGGGTGTGCTACCCCCCTCCTAAATTGAAAGCAAACCCAAAGTCAAAATATATAACAATAAGAAGTCTTGCACCATGAATTGAAGCAAGAAAAACTAAAAGCTTAAGGCTATACTATACAAAAAAAAGTTGAACCAAAGTCTTTGGAAAAATCCCAAAGTTTGCTGAAAGTTTGAATAAAGAAAAATCTGCTGCATGAAGGAGAACCTAGCTTTTAATACAAAACACAAAAATATTACTCAAAGTCAGGTTGCACATGACTTTAATTTGCTGCAAGTTGTGCAAGAGCAATGAAACCCTTGTTGAATGAGAAAAGACAACCTACTATTCCGATACAGTATTTCCCTCTTCTCACAAAATTAGATATTATCATCCAGTGCTGCCCTCTATGTGCAAACTTTTTTCTTTACATATGCCACAAGCCTTGTGCTCCCCCCTATTGGAATCAAAAGATTCCAACATGTCTCTCTCGCAAATCATCATGCGTCGCTTCTCCACCAATAGGAGCGTGACATACTCACGTGATGCATGTGACTCCCTCTATAAGCCTCTACTGAACTATCACTTCTTGTTTGGCAGTGCTTGTGCTTGGAAATGTTGCTTTGTTTGTTTCAAATTTCACGTTCAACTTTAGTATTCTTGCGAAGTGGTTTTTATTTAAATTACTTCCACGTTTATTAAGACTGTTTCCCCACTTTAATTTAATCTCAGTTTATTGCAGTTGCATTATTATTATTCATTTTGATTTTGGTTAACTCTTCTTGATTATGAATTCCAAAGTTCATGTAACCACTTTGGGGGTCACACCTGAGACTAGTGCTATGTCACAAGCTTCAGGTGTGGGCGATCCGACGGGAGATTTATCAGCATTTATTCGCAGGTGATATTGAACATTACATGGATCAACCTCCAGACCTCGTCCACTTCCTCCCAAACATGCTGAGCCTGTTCAGGCTGATGAGGACTTGGATCTCCTATTTCCACCTCCTGATTTTGCTGTGCCTTCCCATGCCCCTCCTGAGGAGTCAGTTAGGCCTACTAAGGTCTTTTTTGGATTTCGTTTCTCAGGTATGTGATGTTTTATCCTTTGCCTCTATTTCCTATGAACCACATCCTTCCTTACTGCATGACCAATCTTCACATCCCTATTTGGTTTTTTTCCCCCTCCCCAGATATTCGGGTACATGCTGGCCAATTTGCCTCACAATTAAGTGATGGGACTAGCATGGGCTTCGGATCAGTTTGCTCTTCCATATCATCATGCAGACTTTCATTTTCTAGATCAACAATTGTTAGGTTCTATTTTACCAGTTTGGGGTGGTGGTCCCTGAATCTCCTGTGAGTTTGACCCATGCCCAATTTCCCCACCTTCATCTTACCCTCACAACTTTTTTGCGATATCTCTCTACTATCAATCTCCTCTCTGAGGCTCTTCACTGAAATCCTGAGGGGTTTTCTGGTGAAATCCTCTCCCTTCTTTCCTCCATATTGGCTTATTTGTTATCTTCAACTCTGGCTTGGAAGGTCCCAACATGACCTTAACTCGTGTCTGTTTACCAGCATCTTATCTTCAGGATTTACGTATGACCCCATTTTTGTGGTGTTACATATTTGAAACGATCCCTGAGTCCTTGGAGTCACGAGTTGCATCAGTACAACAACAGTATACCCTATCCAATCTTGTTGCCCATTTGTCTCAGTTGGAGCCCAATATGGCACCTGTTACAGTTTTTACCCAATCTTTACCTGTCCCTCCTTCTCAAGGTGCCTCGTCTCATCGTTTTCTTCAACGATGCATATCACGTCGCCAACAGTATCAGTGACTAACCAATGGGAGCTCAACTTGCCAATTTTTCTTTATCAATGATGTCCTTTCATTGGGTTCTTCAAGTTTTATCTGAAGGATTTGTGGTCCCGTTTCTTTCCCCACCTCCCATGTCTCCTACAAGCGTTTCCTGCCCTCCGCCTCGGGATTCCATGACTAGCCAGCATCTATCAGAGGTGGTTCAGGGCCTACTATTTCAGCAGGCTATTGAACCTGTTCTACATACTTCACCAGGTTTTTCATCCAGACTCTTTGTTGCTCCCAAGAAAACTAGGGACTGGAGGCCTGTCATTGATTTGTCCCGCCTCAATCGATTTTTTCAACAGCCCCATTTTACCATGGAGTTATTTCTCACTCTGTGGTGGGAATTTTCTCTGGGCTTATGAATGACCAAAATGGACATCGCCAATGTTTATCTACACATCCGTGTCTCAACACAGTCTTGTCCATATCTTTGGTTCGTCCATCATAGAATGGTTTAACAATTTCATGCCCTACTCTTCGTGTTTGCTTCTGCCCCTTATGTTTTCTGTCAGATGGTCAGAGCTTTTCCTCTCCATCTTCATGGGGCTGCAATTCCACCATTATATGGATAACTGGCTGCTTATTGCTCATTCCAAACTGGAGTCGGCCACCCATACTTGTCAGCTCCTTCATGTGGCTGCTCAAGTGGGCTGGTTAATCAAATTGTAGAAGTCCTTCCTACCTCCTACCCAATACCTTATCCATTTAGGAGTCATTTTTAACACTCAGTCGAGCCCTATCTTCTCCCCTACAACTTCATTCCATGGAATTGTTTGTTCACCATGGTTCACGAGGTTCTATCGCTTTTAGGGATGTGGTTTTAACTGAATCCTCTTGGTGATTGACCCATGCACCCCAGCCCTAAATGGATGCATCTGTGAACAGATGTAAACCCAGGTGAGTAAATGGGATGCCCACTGACATATGGGCCTTGTCAAACCACCAAAGCAGATTGTCAAATAGGGTATGAGGAAGGGTAACAAGAGCTGCCAAGTGATCCCGAGCAAGGTTCCATTGATTATGAAGAGCCAACTGAAGGGATCGCATATGTGCACGAACAAAGGGGACCAGTAACGTCATTGCATTGGGCTGTTGACGAGCAGTCTTTGCATATCAATGTACTTGAGCTTCTCACGGTCTGTCGGGCTTTGAATCACTTCCTTCCTCTTGCCAGACATTGTCTGGTGATGATTCATTCCAACAATTCTACAGCAAATATCAGTCATCAAGGGACACCTGGTCAAGATCTTTCTGTTTTTGTACATTGGATCTCCTATATTGTGGCTCACACGCACCACATTCATCTCATTGCGTGTCATGTTCCTAGTGCTTTCAATTTTCCAGCAGATCATCTTTCCCACCCCAACTAAATTTATCCGATGGAGTGGTCTTTAGATCCCCTCATATTTTGGTGGTTTTGCAACCTATGAAGTTTTTCACATGTAGATGCATTTGCCACAGCCCTTACCTCTCCCAACATGGGGTCGATCAATTTGACCAAGTCATGTGACCTTTTGTACTCATTTAAAGTTGATATAAATTTAATACTTATAACTCTCTATATATTGGGTATATCTTCACGAAATTTAGCAGTCTTTCAGTTAATATTACAAGTCTTTCACATACAAAAAACTATATTTCTTAGTGAAGTATTTCTAATAAAATAAAATAAAGTTTTGTGCATGAATATATTGAATATTTGTTTTGAATAGTTTGCGTGCAAAGTAATTTTCATGTTTAAATTAAAAATACTTTTTGTCATATCAAAAAT